GTGCACGGTGCACGATTACTATTTCGTTCCCTCGATTTGCTAAGATGTGCACACGATTACTATTTCGGATGTACTAAAACGTGCACACGATTACTATTTCGTTCCCTCGATTTGCTAAGATGTGCACACGATTACTATTTCGTTCCCTCGATGTACTAAAACATGCACACGATTACTGTTTCGTTCCCTCGATTTGCTAAATCGTGCGCACAATTTACTAATTCGTTCCTTCGATGTACTAAAACGTGCACATGATTACTATTTCATTCCCTCGATTTGCTAAAACGTGCGCACAATTTACTAATTCGTTCTCTCGATTTATAAATCGTGCACACGATTTAGCCTACTATTTTTTTCCTGCATGCCATGTGCGGGGCTCTGTACTTTAGGATTGTAACCATTTTTGCATATTTTTATATTCAAATGCATTGCCCTTCGAAATCATCTCAATAATTGTAGAAGTTTTCCGATATTGTGCAGCCTTAGCAGGAAACAAATAATTTATCAGGACATCTGAGTAACAGTTCTTGTTCCACAAAAGCAAGTGGAAAACCCTACTACAGTACCTTCAAAAATGCATTCAGCAGTGGCACTGCTACTTAATTTACAAGTGCCACAAAAAAAAGTGAACTTTGTGAATTGACAATTGGAATCACAACTAGAATAGTTCAATTCCTCACAATTCTCATCCTTACTGATATCCATTTCCCGCCATTTCCCGCCATCTCTCGCTTGCTCACTCACTAATTTTAAAACTAATCTCCGATACTTGCCAGATTAAATCATTAATAAAATAGAAAGCCTCCTGCTGTTTCCTACCATGTGAGCATGCAATTCTCTAGCCAGTTTCATTATCACACTCGTAAATTACAAAAGCCCTTTCACCCTGAATAATCACAGCGGCACGCTGACGTCACTTTACTGCTGTTGTCATGGTAACTGTTCTGGACTCTCGTGTATTAGATTTTGCAACAACACCTTGTCCCAACTTGTAACATGTGATAACTTGGCACATAATGTCTTTATGTCTAAATTATTTGCGCTCTGCAGGTACTACTTGTGTTTGCAGCTGCGGAAGGACATCAAGAACGGCTGTCTGCCTTGCTCTTTCGTGACCCTGGCCCTGCTGGGCTCTTACGCCCTGCAGTCTGAGCTGGGCGAGTATGACCCCGAGGTGCACGGCACTGACTATGCCAAGGAGCTCCAGCTCATCCCAGGACAGACCAAAGAGCTGGAGGAGAAAGTCATGGAGCTTCACCGCACATACAGGTGATCATGACTGCTTCTTACTGTTGGGCTGATGATTTACCCATATATATTCTTATCATAAATGGATGCTTGGGAAATATGTGTTAATACCGGCAAGATAAATGCACATTACAGGAGGTTAAGATTAAAATATAAGCATTTGCACTTTGCTTTTCTTTAGCAAGGTAATGTTGTTATGACACCTGAATAGTATATTTAAAAAAAAAAGTATTTATTATTATTTTTGTTTGTTTTAATTTTCTACAGATCTATGAGTCCGGCTCAGGCTGATATGATGTTCCTGGAGAATGCTAAAAAACTGGCCATGTATGGTGTTGATCTCCACCAGGCAAAGGTTCAGTAGATCGACAGGAGACACTTTTCATAAATATGATGAATAATAATAAAAACAAACAAACAAATAAATAAAAATGGTTAATGTTTGTCAAAACAATGTTGTTTGTAATACTAAATATTAAATTTGTTGTTTTATTGTATTTTTTTATGAGGTTTGCAATACATTCTAATATTTTCTTAAAAAAAAAAAATTTGAAATAAACTTGAATATAAAATAAATAAATGTTATTAATAAAATGTTTAACATTCAATAAATAAATAAATAAAAAAGATTATATGTCAAAATGGCATAAAACCTATTTTATTTAAATACTTTACATTAATTGGTTTTGTAATTATTGATAAATGTTTTTTTGTAAGTTTGTTTGTTTAGTTTTTTACATTAATTTGGTGACTGGATAGTAATAATAATAATAATAAAATATTTACATGACATAAATACATTAAGTCTCCATTTACTGAGACATGCTGTGACTTAAAATACATTCAGTTACATGTCCCAGTTAGACAATGTGACTTTCCCCAGCACTGATTAAACCACTGCCTTCTTTATGTGAAATCATCGATCTGAGCTGTCATAAAATCATCTGTCAGATGGAAATATCCTTCATCTCACAGGAGTGCTTGTGATGTTGCATGTCCTTTCACTGCTCTGGTTTGGTAGCTGAAACCAGGTCAATCTGTTTGCATCAAGCCATGGATTTAAATAAATTATGGAGTTCACTTTTTAAAAGAGAAGCAAGGACGCCTCGTAGTGGTGGAAGTTTGTAATTGCAAAATCTTTGACCTATGTTTATACATTTTTTTCCCTGTTCTTTTTTTCATCTCTCTGTCAGGATCTGGATGGAGTGGATATAATGCTGGGCGTTTGCTCCAGTGGCCTGATGGTGTATAAGGACAAGCTGAGGATTAATCGATTTCCCTGGCCGAAAGTTCTCAAAGTCTCCTACAAACGCAGCAGTTTCTTCATCAAGATACGGCCATCTGATGTAAGTGTACAAAGCCTTAGAAATACCAAATTTATTCAGGTCGCATTACGTTTTATTTTGTTTCGATGTTGCAAGTTGTGATAATTTTTCATGCTTTAAAATATATTTTGAATTATTATTTTTCTTTATTTTTTTTTATATATTTTTAATAATTAATTTTAAATGAATTATTTTAAAAAATTGTATCATTTAAAAATAATTTTTACATGTTTAAAAATAGCAAATTTCTGTTCTTTTAAATAAAATTAAATATGAAAATATAATCAAACTTTTATTACAAAAACCTATTTCACAGTTCCTTCATATTTTTTAAAATAATTGTATTGTTTCAGTTTTAACCATTGTTTGATAATATTATCCAGATATTGATGTTTGAAACATAAAATGATTTATTTATTTACAATGTCAGATGTTTGAGACAACATACATGAATAAAACAAATTTAAATTGATCATCTTGTTTAAATATATTAAGTTGTCTATTTTTCACTCAGTACAATTAACTGGAAAATTAAAATCTAAGATTAAACAGTACATGGTCTTTATGGTCTTTATATCTTTAAGAAGGCACACATATATGAAATAGATATTTTTTAATTAATTTCAGAATGGTATTTCAGTCAGCCTTTGTTGTACTATATTTTTTAGCTGGAACATTACGAAAGCGCCATTGGCTTTAAACTGCCCAACTATAAGGCCGCCAAGAAACTGTGGAAAGTGTGTGTGGAGCATCACACATTCTTCAGGTATGAATGTCAAACAGTACATCATCACAACATGCATTCACATCTTTAGTGACTGTGTGTTTTTGTGAATTCATGAGTCCAAGTACATTATGAAGAGACGTGAACTCTGTGGTCTCAGGTTGACGTCCACAGAAGCGGCCACCACTCCAAGGAAGTTCCTGGCTCTGGGATCGAAGTTCCGCTACAGCGGCCGAACTCAGGCCCAGACCCGCCAGGCCAGCTCCGTGATTGACCGACCCGCTCCGCATTTCCAGCGCTCCGCCAGTAAGAGGGCATCCCGCAGCTTAGATGGAGGTGTGTCAGCAGTTATTCTTCTCGTTTACACTTTTTTTTTTTCGATAGACTGCTTTAGACATTCCACTAACTATAAGTAACTTTGCAACTCCATGTCAACTAGCAGTCTAGGGCTGTCAAAAAAAAAAATCAAATTTTGAATATTCGTAAAAAAAATAAATCCACATTCAAATGCAAAAACGTTGCATTCGAATTTTAGGTGTGCGTCAAGGAGGCAGCCTTATCAGTGGCGCACGAGATGCAATGACGATGTAAGTGTCATTGCATTATAATGCTTTTGTTAGCCTATCCAGCTGAAGCCACTAGATTCGGCGCTGCTGCGTTGTTCATTCAAAATATTGCGGAAAAAGAGAACATCAATGCGGAGAAGATCTTGTTTACATCAAAACTGAAACCAAGCTGTTCACACAGAACACATATTTCACGCATTTCTAGAAAGCCAAAAGCTTTTCTTCACCCTAACTGAAATTATGCATTTTAAATTCGAATATAATTCGAATTTTGATAATATTTCAGTACAAAATTTGAATTTAGTTTTTCAGCAATTTTGACAGCCCTATAGCAGTCATTAGAGTATTAGTAGACTGTTAGGTTAGGGTTAGTAAAATAAGTTGACGTGCAGAATGTCTAAAGTGGACTTTCGAAATAAACTGTTACCTTTTTCTCTTTTTTGGCCTTTACTTTAGTCAGTTCTGATTGCCTATGGATACAGCTGGTTAGATTGAAAATAGAGGCAGATGATTGGCCCTCTTTGTTGGATTCTGGCCAATCACTGCCGGTCACCTCGGGGAGTTCGATCACAAGTCTGACACTCGCTTTTGCTCTGTTTGGGATCTCTTTTGCTCTTTCAATCTCCGTTTCTCGGCCTCTCTCCAGTTCTCTAATGCACTTCTCTCAGACTCTTTATGTAAGTTGTGCTGCAAGCATTTGAGCTGTGAGCAAAAGTAATTTGTCTCTGCTGGCTTTGCGCTGAAGGACGGATAGACTCAGCATTCAGGCTACTCTCTCAGTGTTCACAGCGGACAAACTCACTAACAACCTGATGCTGGACAGCTTTCTCAGTCCTCAGGTGTGGGTTTTGAGTCTTGACTCCTGCTGGCCTTTTTGGGATAGAAATGTTAAGTCACGTTGACAGTACAGTGTATTTCTGAAATGTGCATGTGACTCAAAGTTGTGTCAAGTCCATTTCACACTAATGCTGCTCTATAGGATGCCTCCATTTGGCTGAATTAAAAAAAAAAACAGCATGTCATACTTCATGGGAGAAAAGTCAATCCCAGAATACACTTTAGCAAAGAGTACTTATTACAGAAATAATGCAGTGAACTGAATGTGTTATGTAATGTTTTTACACACACTTACATTTTAAATTTATATTAAATGCCATTAGACATAAGTACATTTTTATATGCAATTTCATAATTATATTGTTTTTGAAATGCGTGTACTGCTGAATGTACAGACAAGCATTTATGATAAACTAAAATATACTTTAATGTCATTTCTATTGAAACATGTTTGTCATGAATTTAAATATATTTGTAATTACACATATGTAATGATGAAATTGCAATTTATACTTTTAAATATATTGACTTAGAATGTAATATCGAATAACACACTAGTTAAATTTATAATAAAGTACTTTACATGTGCTTTAGTCAACACATCAAAACAAGTGTACTTCATTAAAACATGACAAACTTTATTGACATTTATTATAATCAAATTGCACTTTTTAAAACTGTAATTAACAAACAGTCATGAACGTGCACTTTCTTTAAGTTCACTTAAGTGGCCTTTTATTTCATTAATATTATATTATCTGCAATTTAACACACTTCTTTTTCATAAGGGTAGTCAAGATAAACTGGGTACCTACTGTATGGAGACGTTCCAAATCCATCTCTTGAGGTTGCGTTTTGATTAAGGCAGCAGCCTGTGTGGACAGTGACAGCTCACTAGAGTTTGAAACGCAGCCAGAGTGTCTCTGAGGTAAAGTGGAGGTGATTTCTTGTGGTATAAATAAACCGTGCTTGCTTTAGGCCGTGCAGGTGAATTCACAGCAGGGTTGCGATCCAGAAAAACAACCCTGGTTAACCCACTGATAATTTAACCATTCAGCCCTCAGGTAGAACATGAATGCAGATTTAATTACTTTCTGCAGACTGTAGGTTATTTACATTAAAAAAAAAAACTCCATGAATCTTACATAGTCAGTTGATGCAATCAGCAAACGACCCTCTCTGAAATGCTTGTAGAAGAAAAAGCGAGACAGATTGCTGTTTTGATTAGTAGTTTGATTGACAAGCTGTTTCCTGAGACATTTAATTGAAGGTAAGTTTGGTATTGTTAATTCTTGCGGATCACAACTCCCAGAATGCACCCGTGAAGACATTAAAGTCCTGAAGCAGTTGTTTTTGTGTTTGTTGGAGTTATAGCCCAGAGCGTCTCCCACAGTCCGACAGGAGCTTGATCAGTTCAAAAGGCATGAAAGTCCTAGAGCTGAAACTAAAAAAATATATATCATGGGAAACCCCCCCCCCAAAACAAAACAACAAAAAGTGCAGGTTGATTGGTTTCTGCTCTGGGCTGCACTCTTCCTGAAACCCTTCTGACTTGAGGTGGAGCTAATTGCCCTCAGCTTGATCTTCTTTCCTCCTAAACATTCAGCTCTTACAAAAAAAAACATGATCTTGCACGTAATTTAATGTTTTGAGATGACTTAATAGACTTTTTTTTAACTTGCCCTTGTGAAAAAAAGTAGTGCAAAAATTGTATTGAATGTGCACTTGTAGTGTACTTTAAATCTTAAAAGTATATAAAAATTGTACTTGCAGAATATTATATAATATATTAATGAAATAAAATGCGACTTGTGACTTAAAGAGAGACACTTTCATTTTTATTTCTTAACACACTTAAGCAGACTTAAAAAGTGCACTTTGTAATGTCAAATTAAAAGTTTAAAGGTACATTTTAAATCACTGTTTAATAATCTCTTGTGTTTAAAGAAGTACACTTATTTTGATGTGTTGACTAACATACTAAAGCACGTTTTATGTACTTGATTATAATATTAACTAGTTTGTTTTTGATACATTTTGAGTTCATATATAGTAAATGTACTTAATGCAACTTCATTCATCATTGAAGATGCATATGTTCAAATATATTTACTGTAAATACATGACATCAATAGAAATTACATTAAATTATATATTAGTTCATCATAAATGCTTCAGTACATTAAGCAGTAGATTTGAACCAAATTTCAATAAAATAGAATTATGAAATTATATTTAAAGATGCATTTAAGTCTTACTTTAGTGGTTTATAAAGCACTCTCGCATTCAGCTAATTGCATTATAAAAAA